CCATCTATGAAGATTGTTTCTGATACTAAAGTGAATTGTTTATTTGAATTGAACAAAATACACATGACTCTTCTTTGCGTGACTTTAGTGAGAAAAAATGTTACTAAAAGTGAACACGAAGATTTGGATGGATGTGATTATAATACAATTATTTTTGGGATAGAATGGAGATAGCTCATAAGGATGACGTGGTTATTCCCCAAATAGTTGTTACTCAGAATTCCGTTTGTAGTTCATGACAACGAGAATGAAAATAAATTTACAAATGAGGATTTAATAGCTTTATCCCGTCAGACACAAGTGGGGTGGGAGATCAGGGCTGGATTGAGTAAACCGTCATTTAATTCTTCTCATGTGGTACCCGATGATGAGGAATTGCATGTCTAGCAATTATTTGAAACGAAGAAAGATTTATAGGAAGCTGTGTATCGAATGCACTGAAATACAACTATTACGCCTCAGAACCGAGGCTCAAGAAAAAGCCCAAACAGAAGGTCCACACTCCGCATCATAAAAAATCGAATTGAAGTCATAGGTAAAGATGACAAATCGACACCTCATCCAACGCGCTATGTGTGAGCGGAAGCTCCATGACAAAAGAGAGGCGTCACTTGCTGCAAAACAACAATAGAGAGGTGATATAAGTGGCTAAAACCATAAAGCCGAAGTGTAGGCAAATGGTTGAAGTCCTGAAGCCGAAGCACTATATAAGAAGTCAAAGAAAAAGGCGAACATCCCTATCCCCAAGCTCTTCAAATCGAAGATCTCCAATTCGAAACTCCCTTTGACCAAATCCCTCATTCCAATCCGAAGTTCCCTTCGGCTGAGTCCATAATCACATGGATCGAGTTCATAATCATGTACTAAATAATTCAGTGAATGATATCTAATATTAAATATACAAATATTCTGAATTTGTAGTACTGACAGTAAAAGTCTAAACAATCTAGATAATCAAAAGTTAATAATTACTCTAATTAATTTGTTGGTGTCTAATCTCACGAGGCCACTTCAGTTAGGGGCTTAATTATCATGAATCCATTTCAGTATGGTTAAAGAGGTTTGATTATCATGAACCCTAGATTTTGAGGTGCAGTCGAACTACAAGGTCCAACTAATTAAACAATATATTTTCCACTATTTTTTTTAAATGCAGTTTTAACAATCAAAACAATTAATTATTTATCTTTGATTTATAATTTGATATTAAAATTTACAAAAAAGGTTAAAACACCTTTATTTTACAAACCAAACTAGAGTCTATCCCTAATTTGGAGATTTGGAATATGATATGGTCAAAATTGCAATATTACTAAAATTGAAAATGAAAATCACTATATTCAAAACATAATTTCGATCAAAAGAATTTAATTTGGTCAAACTATCTTATTTTCGGTCAAACACAATTGAATTTGGTCAAAACTGCATTTTGACAATTTCAAAGTTTCCAATTTCAATTTGGCCCCAATTTAAAAATTGCAAAGATGTCCTTAGTAATTCTAAATTTATACAATCAGTCCATCCCCAATCCAAGTCCTCATGAAAACCCTAATCACATTAGCATTCTATCTTGGTAGTACTAGCTTTAGTGGCCTGTCTTCGTCAATCGAGTGCATGGCAATGGCCACACAAATGTCTAACATCAATGGCCACTATCGAGCGATGTAACAACAACAATACTCAATTGTGATGATTCTGCTATTTCTAACAACGGTGTCGATGGTTTTGTGACGAATATCGGAGTTCATTGCCTTCAAAAGGCAGTTGCCCACCATACTAGGAGACCGGAATGCACCCTGCCTTTGAAGGGCAATGTGCTCACGTCTCTACAGTCAGCATCTCCGCCGGTGGTTGCTTCAAAAGCATCGTCGTTGACCAACACTTTCAAAAGATAGTTTTGTGTTATGCCTGTTTTCTTGTGCTAAACAATGGCCAAGTATTTATAGGTTTTCCCAAATCCTATTCCATTAGGATTAGCAAAGGCCTAACCCTAATGGACCGATGAATTAATTAATTTTATCAATTAATTATAGCCCAATACACAATAAGCTTCCAATATTAATTATTAAGTTGACAAAACAATTGGACCAAATTCATAATGCTTACATTTTCCAGGCAAGTCACAAGTCTCTTGGGGCAAGTGAGTTCACCTTACAACTTATCCAAAGCAAAACTTGGATCGAGCTAAACCCGAGTCTGAATAATTTAACTCATTTTAAATCTCAAGCAAAATATTGGATCGAGTTAAATATAAGCCCGAACAATTCAACTCATTTTACGTCTTTATTGTAACATTAAGATTTTTGCTATAATAATATAATAACATAGCTGGACTTCAAAATCATATTTAATCTATAGGTACTTGATTGCACATTTAATAATAACAAACACACTCTTAGGTTAAAATAATGAATGTAACGGCTTTGCTAAGAGGCTCCAAGTCATAATTACAATGAATCATGCTACATGAACATAATGGTTGACATAATCATTGACATAATGTCACGTGGCAACATATTATTAGACTGTTTAAAACTTAGTCAACTTTTTCAACATTCACATCTTGTCAACACTTATTTTGTCAATCATTATGTCACAAATAATCATTGACATAATATCACGTGGCAACATATTATTGGACTGTTTAAAACTTAGTCAACTTTTTCAACCAACCACATCTTGCCAACACTTATTTTGTCAACCGTTATGTCACATTTTTGGGGCAAAGTAGCAATATTCAATTACAATTGTGCTATAAAAGCTCAACCTTGCAAAAGGGAATTGTAAATTAATAAATTCATCATTTTTACAAAAGTCGTAAATTTTACACAAAAGCTTCCCCAAGATTTTGACATGGACACTAATTCCTCTTTGTTTTGTTGGACACTACCTTCAAATCTGTAAGCCTAAATTTACAATTTTATCCAGAAATAGAAAATAATTCCCTATTCGTATAGGTGCGCAGCGCAGCCCTTGGCTTTTCAAAAAGAGTCCAATTTCTTTATCCCCACACCCTACTCAGAGCCTTCTGTATCAAACGGCTATTTTCCAAGTTCACGTGTCATTCAGTACCAAGATAGGGCTTGATGGGCGATAGAGTCCACACAAGATATATTGAGAGTTTGTTTCGAAATGAAATTCTACGTGTTTTTTTTCTATCATATTGAATCATTAAAAGGGGTCAGTATTATAATTTAGAACTGATCTTCTGCCCCCAATGAATAGGATAAAAACTTTTCAATGTTGATATGACAAGGTTATGGTATGATTCTCAGAATTTATGGCTTTCAGAGAACAATAACTGAAGTTTTTTAGCCGAAAAATTCCTCGAGTACATGAATTTTTGATAGATTTTTGCCAGAAATTTGAAATGCTTCAATCATGTCCGTGCGTGTGTATTTTCCCTCCTCCAATCTTTCAATTATTTCCCTTCATTTCAACTTTCTGTATGTTTTCTGGGAAAAATTCAGGTACTCATAGCATGATTCTTTTTTACCACGTCAGCAGTTGAAAGTTTTTATCATGTCCGTTGGGAGGAGGAGATCGGATTGACTATAATCGCCTCTTGTCAACTATACTAACTAGTATCGCAAAGTTTCGAGTCCCTACTAAAAATATTATATTGTCCGTTTTGTAATTTATATATACATATATAGGGTTAAATGTCATGTGTTGTAATTATAGCAGTCAACAAGTATATGCATAATAAACAACGGTCTTTGCTCGATACTAGCACTGACTGTAAATTTCTATGTGTTGCATACATAATGGTCTAACATTTTGAAGACAATCAAGACTGTCAAGTGTACTCACTTTTAATTTGGCTTTTAATCTTGGCCTTTAAATTTACTTTGTGATTCCAATCAAAGAAACAAAAGAACACATCTCCAATTAATATAATCAAGAAAACCCATTTAGCTAATCTCATGCAAGTTGTCATGCCTCACCTTTCAGAGCAGTCTAGTTTCTTTTAATTTATAGAAAAAAAAATATATAGTTTACCCATTTTATTGAAGAGTTCATACTATTAAAGATGAGACATTTATCTATTTATATCTTTGAAACACCCGTTCACATGCACATTATGCTAGTTCGTGTTTGGTTATTATTTATAAATGGTTTATAATCAGTCGAATTATTTCATGGGACCTACAAATACTATCAACTTTTCTATTATTCAATGATATTTATCTATAATTTCAACCTTTTATAAGAAATCTTCCCAAACTTGTGACTTCTAAAGTAAAATGCGAACTTTTTTTATGAATGAGTGACACCAAGCTATAAATTTCCAAAAGTAAAAGGAATTCCATTTCCATTTTTTCTTTCCATCGATAAACTACTAGTGAATTGCACCCTTAGCTTGTTGTTTGAGTAACAAATTAGTCTCAAACTTGCAGAGCATATCGATTGTCAATTTTTCGTTATAGTAATATAATTCATCGTTAAGTACAAAAGTAGTTAAAATTGATAGAAACACGTCTTAGATTATGGCCACATATTTATTTAATCAAGACTTGGATAGTTTTTTTGTTGAAGAAAACTGATTGTGCAATTATAATGATAAATTTTGTTCATTTTTTAAGATTAGAGATCAATTTACTACTTGAAGAATAGATTAAGGACTGATTTTGAAATTTTCACTTCCAGTACAGTATTTTTTTTCACCATGATTACAACTTACAAGGTTTTTTCTTTTCCCTGTTGGTATTTGGTAGAAAACTAATCTATTCTTCCAAGGCCATCTTTTGCTGTGCTGAAAATAACTTTACTTTTCCCCCACACACCTTTTTCTCCTCCTCTATAGCTCAGGCCATACTGTCAAAGCATTCACACACTCTCCCTCTCTCTCTCTCTCTCTCTGAAGCACCGTTCCATCTCTAAGCTTTCTTTCCACTTGGGTTTCTGGTGCAAAGGTAAGAGGTATAAAGAACCCGTCTTTTTCTTTTGCTTGCAATAATTCCAACGGTAACTTTCTGGGAGTTGTGATTTTCTTGGAAATGTTAGCTTTTGCTTATTTTCTCATTTTAATCCTATGTAATTGTGGTAATGTTCTTGTGAGTTCTTTGAACGATGAAGGTTTTGCCCTTTTATCATTCAAGCAGTCAATCAAAGAAGACCCTGAAGGGTCACTAAGTAACTGGAACTATACTGATGAAACCCCTTGTTCTTGGAATGGCATTGCGTGCAAAGAACAAAGAGTTATTTCTGTTAGCATTCCAAATAAGAAACTCTCTGGTTTTCTTTCTTCTTCTCTTGGATCTCTTTCTGAGCTTAGGCACGTGAATTTAAGGAATAATAAATTTTCTGGAAGCTTGCCTTCTGGGCTTTTCAAGGCTCAGGGGATGCAAAGTTTGGTCCTTTATGGAAATTCTCTTTCTGGGTCCCTACCATTTGAGATTGGGAACCTTAATTACCTTCAAACTTTGGATTTGTCAGAGAATTTCTTTAATGGGTCTTTGCCGACATCACTGATTCAGTGTAGAAGGTTGAGAACTCTTGATCTTAGTAAAAATAATTTTAGTGGTTCTTTGCCTTATGGGTTCGGGAAAAACTTGGTTTTGCTGGAAAAACTTGATCTTTCTTACAATAATTTTAGTAGTTCCATTCCTAATGACTTGGGAAATTTGTCTAATTTACAAGGGACTGTCGATTTGTCTCATAATATGTTTAATGGTTCGATTCCGTCTACTCTCGGTAACCTTCCTGAGAAGGTTTATATTGATCTGACCCATAACAATTTAAGCGGTCCAATTCCGCAAAATGGTGCTCTAATAAATCGAGGACCAACAGCCTTTATTGGAAATCCAGGACTCTGTGGCCCTCCATTGAAAAATCTTTGTTCTTCTGATAGTGAGGCTAGTTCGCCTTCTTCATTTCCTTTCTTGCCTAACAATAACCCTGCTCAAGGCGGTGATAGTGTAGGAAAGGTTATTGGTGGACGGGGGCTGAGTAAAACTGCTGTAATTGCCATTATTGTGAGCGATGTGATTGGAATTTGCGTTATTGGTTTGCTTTTCTCGTACTGTTACTCGAGGGTTTGCTCTTGTGGTAAGAGGAAAGATGAAAATGGGTATGGTTTTGATCAGAAGAGAGGCAAAGGGGGGAAGGAATGTTTATGTTTCAGGAAAGATGAATCTGAGACTTTGTCAGAAAATGTAGAACAGTACGATCTAGTGGCGCTGGATGCACAGGTGGCATTTGATCTTGATGAACTTCTCAAGGCGTCGGCTTTCGTGCTTGGTAAGAGTGGCATTGGAATCGTTTACAAAGTTGTGCTCGAGGATGGGCTTACCTTGGCTGTGAGAAGATTGGGCGAAGGAGGTTCACAGAGGTTTAAGGAATTCCAGACAGAAGTAGAAGCAATTGGAAAGCTAAGACATCCTAATATTGTGACTCTTAGAGCCTATTATTGGTCAGTGGATGAGAAGCTGTTGATATACGATTTCATACCAAATGGGAACCTTGCTACTGCAATTCATGGTGAGTTTACAGCTTAAGCAACTTGTTTAATGTAGTCAATTTTGTCATATATTAGTTTACTTGCAATGCATCTTTCTTTACTTGATTGTTTTGTGCGCTGTCATGTCCTCAGGAAAGCCTGGATTGGTAACTTTTATGCCTCTTTCTTGGTCTATGCGAGTGAACATAATGAAAGGAGTTGCCAAAGGCTTGGTTTATCTGCACGAGTATAGTCCCAAAAAGTATGTCCACGGAGATCTGAAGCCTTCTAATATACTGCTTGGACATGATATGGACCCTAAAATCTCTGATTTTGGACTTGGGCGTCTCGCAAATATAGCTGGTGGATCCCCAACCCTGCAATCCAGTCGTATGGTCTCCGAGAAACCACAACACAGACAACAAAGCAGTACACCTTCGGAAGTAGCAACAGTTGCCTCTGCTGCAGCTTTGGGGTCCAACTATCAAGCTCCCGAGGTACTGAAAGTGGTGAAGCCATCCCAAAAGTGGGATGTCTACTCTTATGGAGTGATCTTGTTGGAAATGATTACTGGAAGATCACCATTAGTCCAAGTTGGGAACACGGAAATAGATCTCGTTCATTGGATGCAGCTATGCATCGAAGAGAAGAAGCCACTTTCTGATGTGTTAGATCCACACTTGGCTCAGGATGCCGAGAAAGAAGAGGAAATGATTGCTGTTCTAAAGATTGCGATGGCATGCACGCAGAGCAGCCCCGAAAGGAGGCCTACAATGAGGCACATCTATGACGCATTGGAAAGATTGCCTGTTTCATCCGATTAGCTGAAATTCATTTTCATCAATTGATTGTAGGGATTTCATTAAAATCGTGTCGTTTTGGACCTAGGAACAGGACGACGATGCACGGGAGATTTCTTGATCACATCACTTGCTGTAGGAATCTCTTCTCGAGTGCAAAATAAGGCTATGCTGTTATAGGCTGTGCCTGTTTCTTCACGTGTGTATATGTATAAGAATGTTATTTCCTTGTCTTGTTCCTGCTCTTATTGTAGACCTTTTGTTTGTTTATTGTTCTTTCTTGGTCAGAATATTATTTGCTTTTCAAGCATGTGAACGATCTACTATGGAACTTTGCCCATGGCAGCATTAGAGAAATTGGTCTCATTTGAGACGGGTACGTGGGGTATAGAAATTTTACGTTTTTTAAATGCAAAAAGCATTGGTTTTTAAGGGGTTGTTGGACGAAGTTTTAGATAATAGCGTTTGCAGATTTTAATAGAAGTTGATAAAATATATAGATTCGATGAATTTTTTTGTTAAAATTAGTTGTCTTGTCATTAACTTTTTAAAACTATATACTAAACGACCAATTGGACTTTGCCGAGGGGAGAAGGTAAATAACACTAATAGTCCACAAAGTTTACAAAATGTACACTTATAGTCTTGAAATTCTAATTTTAACATATTTTATGTTGTGATTTGGTGCTTTTTTTACGATGCATCATCATATACAAACATTGACTATACTTGTGGTATGTAGTCATTAATAAACTTTGACAAAAGGGATTAAATTCACGTTTGGTGAAAAGATTAAAATCAAATTTTTAGTATATTTCGATAAAAAATGATAAAATCTATGATTGCAAAGTTATGGATTATATGAACTATGTGATTAAAATTAATTGTTGACTATGACTTAGATTGAAATCTAAATTTTAATTTCTACCAAATAAGGACTAAATTACGATAGTATCCAAAAAATTGATACTAAAATGTTGTAATTAAAATTTATGGTGCTAAGTTGAGACTACTTAAAAATTTAGAGATTATGAAGATACTTGACCAAAAAAGTTTTAGCAATTTCATTGAAATTGAATGCATGTTTTGTATACGGTACTCGAATAAGTGATACTGTGTAGTACTAATGTAGTTATGTTAAGTACTAGTCTACTAATAAAATATTAGTATTAAATGATATGTTCAATTAACCAATTTATATATCCCTATATTTATTGGACCTATCGTATAATGTCACGTAGAATGATACTAAACACGAGCAGATGTTCTTTTTAATATTTTATTTTGTTATTTCAAACATAGTGGGGTCAAATTAACAAGTGTTATTCATAGTTAGATAGAATTCCTTATCAATTATCATCCAACTCTAATCTTCCTATATACCTTTACTTTTCAGAGACATGACAATTGTAAAGACATGGTAGGGCTGAAAAGTTTGGCCATTGACATGTCCCTCTTATGTATCAAAGGGAACATGGCAACTCATAAGTAGAGTTAATGTTATGTGAATTTAGACACCTTCATTTCTTATTTTATGCATTCTTTAGAGTAATGTTTTTGCTCTTAACTTTTTCTTTTTCATTTCTGTATGATTATCTCTCGTCTCTAAATACGGTATCATAGAGATCATGAATTCAAGTCTCGATGATCGATACTGTGAGGTTATTTAACGTTCAGACAGTATCTATACTGAAATGAGGTGGCGACAGGGTAGAGTGGGGTCAATAAAGTTATTGGGACCAATGTTTGGCAAAGAGAGAATTATCAGACCCTAACCAGTTGTTGACATTGATTGGCAATAAATTGGTATGTTATTTGACTTTTTAGAAACCCAAATATTCTTGTTGGGAATAACTTACATTTTCAACTGCTTGAAATTATTGTCATCCGCTAATCATGCCTGCTGGGCTGGGAATCTACACCAAGTGGTAGATTTTGGGTTCCAAAAAATCAATCTTGCTTCTGGACAGAAGTAGAAGTCACATAATACCAACAAAACACACACACGGTGGGGACCATGATTAGGGGTGGGTAAAAAATCGCCCAACCTGCTCAACCCGCCCGACCCAACCCAACCCAACCCAACCCAACCCAAATTGATCGGGTTGGGTCGGTTTTTTTCATTTTTTGGGTTGGGTTCGGGTTTGGGGCGTTGAAGGCGGTTCGGGTTGGGTTGGGTTACGGGTTGAACCAAAAAACCCGACCGACATTTGGTTTTGGAGCATTTACAAAATTATGAGTTCTTTGTCTTCATTTTGTGATTACAAAATTATATTTATCAGAATGAAAAATTCAACATGTGTATCTGAGTTACTCTTCTATTTTGCACATTTTCAGATATATTCAAGAGCTTCTTTAGTGATGTTTACATTATGTAAATGTTGTCAAATATGTTATGTGTTATCAAATATGAAATTTATTGATATTGAAAGACTATTAATATTGCTTTATATTCAGTATTTTGGTAAAAAAAATCAAAATTTTGGAACTTTAATATTTGTTGAAAGGTTGTTCCAACCCGACCAACCCGACCCAACCCGACCAACATTTGGTTGGGTTGGGTTTCAATTTTTTCGTAGGTTGGGTTTGGTTGAATTTCGATCAAACCGATCGTATTGGGTTGGGTTTGGGTTGAGACAAAAATCGACCCGACCCGACCCGACCCAACCCACGCCCACCCCTAGGTGGGGTCCACATATTTTTTTAATATTATTAAATACAAGGTGGTGTTCCCGCATTGTGAGTATTCTGGTGGCTTTCTGGCAAAACTATTTCTCTACAAATGATTTTATTGTTCAAAAATTGCCAATGCACGTTTTGTATGCAGTTCACAAAATGACTAATGACAAAATAATAAAATAAATGAGAGGAAGGTCTATACGTATTTTCAGCAAATATTTTTCGATATTGTAAACCATCATACNAAAAAAAAAAAAAGTAATGCTACTTGGCACTGTGGGAGTGGAATCAACTTCCTACAATTGGTCAGAATAAAAATAAATTAAAAAGTAAAATTAATCGCCAATTCACAGTCACTTAGGCTGAGGCAATGCAACAGTAATGCCATATAACAATTTTCCCATGTCGGAGAGGCATTTTGGCCAAATTTTACTTCATTTTTGGATCACTATAAGGGTCATTGGGACCTAGTTGTGCAGTAGATTCTGACCACACAGGAAGCATAAAGACGGAATTGTCATTACTTCTCTCAGAATGAATTTTACATGAAGAGGCAAATTGATAATTTTACTTAATGTAGTTTAAAAAAAAAACAACTCTCTCTCTCTTATGCTAACACTGTATAACGTAATCATGTCAACGAGCCAAAACTCAAAGTTTGGGCTCAGTTCGAGCAAAACAAGTCCGAGCTTTTTTGGGTCCGAGCCTTGCTCGGCCAAAAAAATGAGGCTCGGCCCGAGCCCAGCCGGTTCGTGTTTTTTTTTAAAATTTAATTATAAATCTATAATTTTGTATAATGCATTTAAAATTTGTGCAATTTATGTGTGTTATAAATAATAATATATGAAAAAATACATTTAAACTTAAAAAAAATATTTTTTTTTATCACGTAGTCACAAGCCGGCTCAAGCCGACGCCCCAAATTGGGGCCCGGCCATAACCTTGGCTCGGTGGAACGGAACCGAGCTCGAGCTGGGCCCGGCTCGGACTTTTTCCGGGCTGAGCCCGAGCCGGCAAGCTTTTTTGCCATCCCTAATATAATGGCTCGAGTTTGGCTTAAAATGTGGTAACAAATGACATGCGCTTAAATGAAACAATATCTTTTTTGGAATTGGTTTTCAGAAATTGCAAATTATAAGAAAGATTATTATTATTTTTTCCTTGAACCCATTCTTTGTTCTAAATACTTAGCCTAATTATCGACTAGATCTAGTCCTCTATCATCATTATTGGTTTTGTAACAATAATGATATAAATATTTTCACTATTGTTTGAGCCCTTTTTTTTGTTTTGGGGGGAGGAATATATTTTGGAATAATAATTTTTTGGAGAATATGTGATTAGAAAATAAGAAAAAGTTTTCGATTTAACTGTAAAATAATTTTATTAAAGAATATATAGTTAAAAATGAGTTTAGAAAAAAAGTGGCTCAAACGATGTAAGCTCGTTTTACTAAATTAAGATGTGTGTGATTTTAAAAAGTTAAATAGACATTCATGCATCCATCGAGTACTACACTTTTGTTTCACATATTGATACTATTTGAACTTAAATATCTTGTAATTGCAGAGTTAAGTATCTTATTTAAACTTTGTCATCAAATTTGCTAACTTTTAAATCTTTAATGGAAAGAGGCTAGCACAATTTTGTATAATGACTAAATGATTTTCATTTTAATTATATTTTTTTGCACAGGATTTTATTTATGCCTTTATTTGGTTTAGCTGAAATTATTCTTTTAGTAGATTTTGATAAAAAAAAAAATGATAAAATATGTGGTTAAAAAATTGATAAAAATTGTGGATATAATGAAATGTGTGATTAAAATTAAGTTTAAAAAATTTATTTTTAAAAAATGAGGGCAAATAAGGACTAAATATTACTTGGATTTAATTGCAAAATCTTGAATACTTATTGCAAGTCAAATAAAATAAAATTTAACTAAGAAATAGAACAAATTTAGCTCATGTCTGACAATTATTATTTTGGAAAAATAGATTTTTGAATATTGATTTTGAGGAGAACAAGTGGTTAAGTAAAAAAATACGAAAATAAAAATAAAAGATGAAGCGAGGTATGCCAAGGCAAATCTTCTTAAAATAGATTTCGCCCTCCCAACAACGTGCAAACGGGATTATGGACGTCTGTCTTCTAAGATACAACGCTTCTTCCAAAGTCGATATTGCACAATACCAACCTTGTCGGTCGAACCAAAGAATGAACGTACTCGAACGGAATAACAACGAACATATCGTAGGAATTTATGCAGAATATGGAGAGAGAACGAATTTAAAAATCAAGAATATATTAATTGATTTGGTGTACAAAAAATGAATCTGAAGGTCTCTATTTATAGAGATTGAAGTGTCTCATTGAATGGGTGTGTGACATTTCATGAACTATTGCACCACTTGGTTTGATACGTTCTAGTCATTGGATCGTACTGTTTCATGATCTGACGGTCCAGATTAAACAATGAAGTGTGGTGTCCATTCATCATGCCTATTCACCAATTTCTGAACAGTCACCGGCCATGCAGATGCCACGCGTACGTCCAACTGAACCAACTGCCACGCAGGACTAAGTGACGCAACATATTACGTGTGTGCCACCTAGGATGCCAACTCATCGAGCCTCCTGTTGCCAAGTCATCGAACCATGAGTCTATTTCTGAAAATTTTAAGGCTCCACATCCCAATACGAACTTTGCGACGTATGAGGGCCGAGGCCGGGACGGGGCGCGATGCGAGTGGTGCTTCACACCACTCTAGTGGTGGCTAGTTATCTAGCCTTTGGTTAACCAAAGTTAGCGAAGTTGTAGACCACCTATTAAATTATAACTTGTACACACTTTCCACTATATAAACAAGTTTTTTTTCTTGTAAACTTTCGATGTGAGATTCCTTACCATATACAAGGCACTTAAAATTGGGCTTATCAACTTATGGGTCTATATTGGAGACTTTTCCAATTCACTCAAATTAATTACAATGACCCACATAATTAAATATCACATTTAATTATTTAACATTTTATCAATTAATTCCAACACAAAGTTGCGTGTACATTTCCTCCACATAGATAAATTAAAGAACAAATGGTATTTGTGCGTAAGAGCGAGATGTACAGTCAAGCAATTATCGATTCAGATGATCTATCTAGAAGAATACCGAACTATTAGCGTACTTGTACAGACATGCACATCAATTATCCAAAGAAAAGTTAATGTCGTAAACTAAGTTGAATAAACAATGCAGAAACAAATAAAAACATACCTACATCTCATGGTTGACATCTCACACCTTGTAAAGGGGAACAAGCAGGTCCTAAATGACAAGCATGGATGTTGTCCCAACATAAGGGTTATATCTTAATAAAGTTGACATTTTAAGATGGAATATCAATTCTTAACATGGTATCAGAGCTCATTAAACTCTAACGAGCAATACGATCCGATTAAGATTCCAAAAGTGAGCATACGAATTTCAAAATTGGTCTGCTCAAAACAACCATCATCTTGCAGGGGCATATTAAGGGATAAAATCTCACATCGAATAAAGATATAAATATAAACCAACTTATAAAGGATTAAGTTACTCATCTTAATAAGGTTGATCTTTTTAAGATAGAACTCCAATTTTTAACAGTTTTAGCTCCTGTTTGGTAGGAATTAAAATCAAATTTTTAATAAATTTTGATAAAAGTTGATGTGATGTGTGGTTGAAAAGTTGTGGATCCCATAAAATGCGTGGTTAAAATTAGTTGTTGACTTTGACTTAGATTAAACATTTTATCAATTAATTCCAACACAAAGTTGCGTGTACATTTCTTCCACATAGATAAATTAAAGAACAAATGGTATTTGTGCGTAAGAGCGAGATGTACAGTCAAGCAATTATCGATTCAGATGATCTATCTAGAAGAATACCGAACTATTAGCGTACTTGTATAGACATGCACATCAATTATCCAAAGAAAAGTTAATGTCGTAAACTAAGTTGAATAAACAATGCATAAACAAATAAAAACATACCTACATCTCATTGTTGACATCTCCCACCTTGTAAAGGGGAACAAGCAGGTCCTAAATGACAAGCATGGATGTTGTCCCAAAATAAGGGTTATGCCTTAATAAAGTTGACTTTTTAAGATGGAATATCAATTCTTAATATGGTATTAGAGCTCATTAAACTCTAACGAGCAGTACGATCCGATTAAGATTCCAAAAGTGAGCATACGAATTTCAAAATTGGTCTACTCAAAAGAACCACCATCTTGCAGGGGCATATTAAGGGATAAAATCTCACATCGAATAAAGATATAAACATAAACCAACTTATAAATGATTAAGTTACTCATCTTAATAAGGTTGATCTTTTTAAGATAGAACTCCAATTTTTAATAGTTCTAGCTCCTGTTTGGTAAGAATTAAAATCAATTTTTTAGTAGATTTTGATATAAGCTAACTCAACTTTACATAGAATATGAGAACATCTATACATGTACATTTACTAAGTCCCTGTTTGGTGGGGATTAAAATCAGATTTTTAGTAGATTTTGATATAAGTTGATTAAATGTGTTGTTGAAAAGTTATGCATTCAATGAGATGTGTGGTTAAAATTAATTATTGACTTGACATGAATTAAAATCTTGATTTTAATTTCTACCAAATGGGGGCTTAATTTGTTATACAAAATCATATCATTTTCTTCTTGAGGCAAAGAAACGAACATTTGATGTGCCATAACTAAAGCATCCAAGAAAAATCCTATATTAGGCCACATATTACATTCTTCCAATATAGGTATTATGCTTCTAATTTGTAATAATGCACGTTTCTACACATTCTCTAAATCCTTTTCTTCTATATCCATCTCTTCGAGAAGCTTTGCAAGAACCCTTTCTTTAAAGAAGCCATATTTTTGTTTAAGTATCTCGATGAGAGTTAAAAGTGGCAAGAATTTGTTCTTCATGTAGCCTAGCCCAGTAACCCTTGACCTCCTTTTGTCGATTCTTCTTCCTCAACATCCTCATCCTAGTACCTACGATGATGGCCAAATCCCAATTCAGATGTGTGAATACCACGAGATTCGAAAGCATCTTCAATGCTGCTTTTCAAGAAGTTTTTGAATCTAAAACAGATCCATGACTGCCATCATTATTTCCTCTAGAGCTTTCTCCAAGATTACAAATTTTGGGCTATTTTGGGTTTTAGGCAGGGCGGACCCAGGATTATGGTTTAATAGGGATGTCTCAATTACTGTAAAAAATAACTTCAAATTAGACATTCTTTCTTGGATTTGGGTTAAAATTATGGACTAAAATTATATGGGGTTTTTCAATGTCAAAAATTAAGGGTTTAGTGAGGGCAATTGCACTTACTGGACACTTAATGGGCCTGCCCCTGACTATAGGGATGGGTTTTGAACGTAATTAACGTGGTTTATAGTTTTTATTAAATTTAAGGATATTTGAGGTAGTGGATCTAATTTTCCCCTCTATAATTTTGGTTTGGAGAAATGGCGCCACCTACCTTACTTTTAATAAATATTTAAAAAATACCTTGTAATTTTTTTTCAATAAATACTGTAAAATAATAATAAAAAGAAAACATTGAAGATTATCTAAATCAAAAGAATAATAAATTAGGTAACATATTTTACTTCTACAAACACGCCTTTACAAGTAATATATTTTGATTCCTACAAACACACCTTATGTGGATTTATCTAGAAAGCCCTAAAAACACGCTGATTCATCTTCCTTTTACTTCATTGTAGAACGTGAATCATCTTCATCCAAAAAATTCTCAAAAAAAATATCTCACAAATTGACCTTCATACAGATATCACACGAGATGTAATATGTATTATTATCACACAAATCAAAGAATGACTATAGTGATATCCAGCTTAGAAGAAAAACCTACCCAGCTTCTGACACATTCTCGTAAAGTTTATGCTTCAAAGTGAGAAATTCCGGCTTCGAAATTGAAATTTTTTGATGCAGATTCCACGATTCTTTGTCCCGATTGAGTGTAGAAAACACAGTCCGGTTAAAAAAGGAATCCATTGATATTCTTTACACATTCTCAATTTTTTGAATTGATTTACCTTTTTTGGAACAGGAATTAAATGTGAGGCTCGTAAAGGATGTGAAGGATGGTGTATTCAAAATATTTCAGTTACAAAATGTCATTTTGCTTCAATTATTAGAAATTAGTAATTTTTAATATATTTCATTTACAAAACAACATTTTTAGTATTTTAAACAATAAGTAGTAAAACATGAAATCATATTTTGTATCAATGCATATACAAATTTTTTCCGTTTAGTTTTATGAATTCAAAGATGAGTTCGTACTTTCGTGTTTTGTATGAAATTTGATATTTACACTATCGATTCCTTGCGTGTACGGTTTCGGCCTTTTCGATAGGTTAGACCACTATGACTTGGGCTTTGTTTATCTTGGGCCGCCAGCCAAAATATGAGCTCATTAGGCCGTCGAGTCAAGCCCATTCAGCTAAACTACCTGTCAGGCATCTCTTCCCCTAAACCTCTCCGGCACCTTGAAACACTTCTAAACCTGGCTGAACCCCAACAGACGCGTACTTGAATATATAGCCAATTCATGTCTGCTAATAGCAACGAAGTGCAAGTGGGAGTGGAGAGGTTGTTCATAGGGGCAGGTTGCAACAGAATAGTGAACAATGTTTCATGGGGTGCCTGTGACTTGGTCTCTTTTGGTACCCAAAACGCTGTTGCCATTTTTTGTCCGAAGGTTTACTCCCTTTCCCACTACTTATTGTTACTTTTCTTTATCTTCCGCCAATAAGTATATGCTGCTTCAACAATTTTAATGATATATATATTTTTTTTGTCTAGATTGGACAAATCTTGATTACGCTTCCCGGCCACAAGGCACATGTTAATTGTACTCACTGGTTGCCAAGCAACAAGTTTGCATTTAAAGGTACAGTCTTTAAGTACAATTCTGCTCAAAATATTTCCTTTTTTACTGGTTTTTAAGTGTTAGAATTGGGAATTCATGTCATGGTTTGTTGTTCAGATGGGTTTTATTTGAAAGATGTATGAATTAATTGAGATTTTTTAACTTTTTTGGATAAATAGATTTAAGTATTTTTTGGCTTTTTGTGGTGAATATGGTTATGCATATGCAGCTAAACATTTGGAAAGGCACTATCTTCTATCTGGAGATGCCGATGGAGCTATTACTTTGTGGGAGTTTTCTCTTGCAGACAAGAAGGTGCTTTCTGGATATCTTTTTCCTTTTTTTATCAGTGTGTATGGCATCATTTCTTCTTGTCTCTACCCATAAATGTGTTCTGTAGCTGCAATATACTTTGGTTGTAAATCACTCTTCATTTATTGGTGAACTTTGGAAACTACTGGTGGTCTTTTATTAAAGAAACTGATTGTTTTATTTTTTATTTTTAAATGGATATACTATTAGCATGTGGGGTGTTGGTGGTGGTGGTATACTTCTTGCTTAGCCACCACACACCAGACTTTTCTTGTCTAGCAGTGACCAAAGAAGCCCAGGTCGTGGAATATATATCTCTTTAAAGATTCTTGATATAGAGCCGTGATTGACTTAGTACCATATGTGAACAAATATATATTTCGATGTATATTCCCAGTACAGGCAAGTCTCTAATATACCCTCAGTATGCTTCAACTATCATCAATTGATGTGGAGTCCAAGACAATATATATAAAGCTCTTTCTATTCTAAGGGAGCTTATGAAATCTAATGACAGATATAGTCCAATTCATATATGCTTGTTGTCTGAAACTAACGTTAGGTTAGCTAGTTATATGTAGGGAAGAGATTCGGATGCTTATATAATCTTGCATTTTGCCGTTTGCTACATTTGCTTCAATTTCTTGTGCATAGGGTGGCGAAAGATAATCTTTAAGATGGTGCAAACTTATAGCATGGTTGGGGAAGTGATTATAATTTAATCATTTTTGGTCAAATATAATTTTTATATACACATTTTATAGTAATCACAACAAGTACCCATATATTATTATTCACAGATTTCATATGACCCATAACTTATAATCACTTAAACTTTAATTTAAAGCATGTTTGGGAGTTATTTATAATAGGTTTATATTATAAATAAATAGAATTGAGTGGTGAATGTGTGGGTTAGTACTTGTGATTTTTCACAAAATATGTGGATAAAAAGTGGTTTGACCGATTATAAACATTTTATAAACGGGTGTCAAACAAGGGCTTAATCACCATTTAATTACATTTTCTCCTTGTTTCAACTGCATTGTAAGCAAAAGGATTTCTTTTTCCTAACCCAAAAATGTCAGGTTGCTGCAACTTTTATATGTTTGGCACAATATGCTAATTTTTAAGGGAAATCTTGTGTACTATAAAACTTATACTGGAGGGTGAGTATGTATGGGTTAAAACTTTAGATAAAGGAAGACTTTCTTGTTGTCGTTTGATGTTGATGTTCAAATTAATTTTCCTAACAAGTTGATTATTAGGCTCCAAAGTGGGCAGCCTGTACATGCAGTGAAGCAAACACATAAAGTTCTCTAGTATCCTTGTCAAAAAAATAACTGGAAAGCCAACAAGTAAAAGGGACTAACGTTTTCTTTGATGCATCAATGCCTGGATAAGTATTAATTGTTCATTACTAGTAGTCATCGATGCCGTTGTACTAGTTTAGTTGGGTCGGAGAGCTCAAGGTGAAGTTTCGGATCGGAACGATTAGTTATTGTGTAGAGTCAATTAAATATGCATCACTTTACCCTTTGACACGATTCAAGATGGTCCATACCCTCAATAGAATATTTCTTTAGTGCATTTGATTTCCCTTTTGCTGTATGTTTTTGGTTGTGAGAAAGTGATTAAATTGAACCTCCCAGTATATCTAGTGGGCTGAACAGACTGGTGGAAAATGATTCCTGTAGTCAATCCCAAATTATTGGCAATAACATTTAGTTTGTAATTATTCTGGGCCTGGAAAAGATGGGGTATATATGAAGATAGGAAGCATTTTCCCTTGTTAAAAGTGGTCATAAAATGCAAGAAATTATTCTAGAAAAGAACCTGCTATTTATTCCTGTCCTTCGGTTGTACTTCACGACAAACTTTTGCAATGCCAACATTTATTGATGTCCGTCCTTTCAATTTTTGGTTTAACCTGTGTATGATAATCAATTTCAAAATGAAATCTTTGAAGAAGAGATGTGAATGGTAATGGTCTTTCTTTATATGCCCTTTTACTATCTCCTCTGAATTGCTACCCAATTTTTTGCAGTGGAGGCATGTGTTACAAGTAGTCGAACACAAAAAAGGTGTTACATGCATTACTGCAATCATGGTGTCTGATACAGATGCGCTGTTTGCATCCACCTCTTCTGATGGTGTCGTAAATGTGTGGGAAGTAATCCTTCCATCTATTTCTGGAGGTGAGTGGCTTGGAGTTGAACTATTCCATTGTCATGTTAACTCTCACGTGCATTAATTTTGCTATCGATATTCGTACCACCGTTGCTTGGTCAAGGAGTTGTATTCGTAGTATTTAAATGCACAAAGTGCACCGAAGTGCCAAGACTTCTATTGGCTTAGGTGCAAATTCCAAAGTGAGTAACATGCTCCATTGAAGCAAAGTTATTCTTAGTGAAAATTCTACATACTTGCATGGTATCTTCAGAAAAGTTCTGAAATTATTTAATTTTAAACCAATTCTGACAAATTCAAGATTGAATTTTTGTCCACATTCAGCTACCAAAATATCATCGAAACATAACAATAAACTATGATATGTGATTCTGATGAAAAAAGGACTTAAAAAGCCTAGAATTATTACAAAGCCAGCTTGAAGCTGCATTTTAACTCCGAAGAAGTATCCAGGGCAAGCCTTTCACTTAGATGCATGACTAGACTCGCTATTAGTAACTATGGTAATGTTCGTAACTGTCTACATCCATTCCCCATTTTCCATTGCGTACTTATCTCTTGGATGCTAATGATTATTTCCTCCTTGTAGTAGATAATTTATGTAGATTATATGGGTTTGCAAGTTGTTTGTTTTTTGTCATATGACCATATCTATTTCATCGTAATTCTATTGTATTATATTTAAACTAGTGGCTATTGCTCAACTTGGTTTAGATTTTTGACAGTCTACATTGAGCAGTTCAATTTGTTTTGATCAATGACATGACACATTAGTTGCAATCGGAAAGGTATCTTGTCTTGTTAACTTGCAAATAGTGGAGTGAGCTGGCATAAGGCTCAGAATCTCCTCCTGATAGCCTCTTTCATCTGAAGGAATGGCTATGACCTAACTTTCATAGGACCAAAGTAATTGCATTTGTGCATTTGATTTCAATTTTTTGATTCATTGACATGATATTTATTTTCCTTGAGATCCAGAGGAAACCCAAAAGTTCATACCTTATGTTCCTTCTACTTTGTTTTCCGTCTTGTAAATATTTACTTCCATTTTTCTTATTATTAATCTATTCTTTTCTCCCCCCTCCTTTCCCAGTTCTATTGGTTTCGGGGTGTTCTTGTAAAACTTGTTGACTATTTATTGGAATCAAAATTTTCCTTGCCATTCAGGTCCTATTATATTCATGATACAAGTCTAATCCTAGATGTAGAAATATAAGAAAATGGGTCCTCTCTCCTTGTTTAATGAATTAGATATCATGTAAGTTAGATGAAATGTCATTTGCATATGGGAAAGAGCAATATCAATTCCTGAGACGCCGGCACGCCACAAGAATATAAGATTTCAACTTGCAAAAATTGTTAATCATAAAATAGTATTATATGGATCTTCTGATCCCTGGAGCTGCATTGAAGTCGCTGGTCTAGCCTCTAGGCTTGGTCAAGTTGAGAAACACCCTTCAGAAAAGGCATCGCCACACTCAGATATTCTGGATTAGTGGTTTTTTTGTGTCTCATACACTAGGGCAAGACTTTGGATTTTTATTTTCTTTTTTGTTATATTTCTGCGGGATGCAAGTTGTTCGACAAATAAAATCTTTATGGCCTTTTGGGATTATAAAGATTTTGAAGGATGATGACTGTCTTCCAGCTCAATTCTTTTCTCTCAATCTAAAAATTTATCTTGAAATCTTTACATTTGTACGAGACTATGTAAAGTGAGCTTGTCTATTTGTATATTATGGCCCCGTTCGGGAGGGCTTAAAATTCAATTAAAATTGAAAATATGATCGTTATTGGGTCCCATCCGTCTAATAAAAGTCAACAATAACGGCTATATTTTTAATTTTAATCTGATTTTAATCCCTTCCAAACAAGCTTTATATATGTTTTTTGCACAATATCAATCCACTGATCTGCCTCTTCTGATTGCTGTATTCTGAATTGTACTGATTTTTAAGTTTATAATCAAGTTATTAATTTGCATATCACAGGTGAATGCAAATTGTCTTGTTTGGACTCCTTGTTTGTTGGGAGAAAACCTATGGTCGCTCTTTCATTAGCACAGTTGCCTGGGAACTCTGGTCAACTAGTCCTGGCCACAGGGGGACTGGACAACAAGATTCATCTATACTGCGGTGAGAGGACAGGAAAAGTGTGTAGCACCTTATGGATCCTTTTTTTAATATTCTGTCACCACTAAACTTCTCTTTTGCTAAAATGAATATTGTGGTTTATTTATGCCCCAGTTTGTTCATGCCTGTGAGTTGAAAGGGCACACTGATTGGATTCGTAGTCTGGATTTCTCGTTACCTATATATGCTAAGGGTGAAACATCTAGTGTTCTGCTAGTAAGTTCATCTCAAGACAAAGGCATACGCATATGGAAGATGGCTTTATGTGATTCTCTTTCTAATAAGGGAACAAGTTTGGCCTCTTACATTAAAGGTCCTGCATTTGTAGCCGGTTCATCATCTTATCAAATATCTCTGGAATCTCTCCTCATTGGCCATGAGGATTGGGTATACTCAGTGCAATGGCAGCCGCCTCAAAGCTCATCTACTGAGGGTATGGAATTTTATCAGCCTCAAAGCATTTTATCTGCATCCATGGATAAGACGATGATGATCTGGCAACCTGAAAAGACTACTGGCATATGGATAAATGTGGTCACTGTTGGGGAACTAAGTCATTCTGCTTTGGGGTTTTATGGTGGGCATTGGAGCCCAAGTGGAGACTCAACTTTAGCTCATGGTTATGGTGGATCTTTCCATTTATGGAAAAATGTTGGCATTGATTTTGATGATTGGAAACCACAGAAAGTTCCTTCTGGACACTTTGCAACTGTATCAGACATTTCATGGGCTAGATGTGGGGAGTATCTGCTGTCCGTCAGTCATGATCAAGTAATGTATTTGTTGATTGCAGAATCGATTTGATGAAATCTCTCCCTCCTCTCACTTTCTTTCTTTCTCACACACTCCACACACCACGCCTCCAACCCCCTTTAACAAAAGACTGAATTTCTCTTTGAATATTAATGTATCATTTATATTGGCAGCTTTTAATCTTTTCGCTGTGTTGGATTATTCTAATTTTCCAAACTTTGCATGTTTGGCAATCTGTTTCATGTGTTGATATTGAGAAAATTTTCTTGCTACGTGTACGTCGAGATTGACATAATGAATTACAGGATGTCACATGTCACTCTATCATTTGCTAATTTAAAACACAATCAATTTTTTCATCCAATATTTTCCCTCCATAATCCATTATGCACATTTTTTATGTACAAGTAGCAAAATCCAACTGAATATGGATTATTGAAATATTTATTACCTTTTATGCATGACTGATACACCTTTACCTAACTAGTTTTGTCAGAATGAGATGGATGCTATTTTCATGTTCTTTAATTCCCTCGCCTTGACTCCAATTCTCTCTCTCTCTCTCTCTAAAAAATTATTGTGATCGAAACATTTATCATTGAATTTCTTGAGTTTTTGTTCCAGTGTACTCACCCTCACTAAAGGAAAATGGTAGAATTAGAAAATAATAAAAAAGAATGAAGACCTTTTCCTTGTGAAATTAGTGTGAATACTGCAAATTAAATGTTGCATCTAAATATGTAATTGGACTTGACCTTTTAAATATATGAAGCCCAAGTAATACATTACGGTTGCAGAGTTGTTATGTTCGCATATATTAAGAGTCTCAATATGCAGTGCTCATTTTCTATTGCATGTAATTTTTTCCCATCTTTTTTCTCGTTTCAAACTTTGTAAGATAAAAAATTATTGAATGGCAGCTTTCATGTTCTTTTGCAGACAACTAGGGTGTTTGCTCCATGGCGTAACATATCTTCTTCAGAAGTTGGAGAAGCTTGGCATGAAATTGCACGTCCTCAAGTTCATGGCCATGATGTTAACTGTGTGACAATAATCAAAGGAAAAGGGAACCACCGTTTTGTAAGTGGGGCCGATGAGAAAGTTGGCAGAGTTTTTGAAGCTCCTCTATCCTTTTTAAAGACTTTGAATCATACAAATTCATGGAAATTTAATTCTTCTGATGACCTTCAAGCTGACATGCAAATTTTGGGTGCAAATATGTCTGCCCTAGGACTATCCCAGAAGCCTATATATGTTCAAGGTAAGCTTTATGTTATCTCTCTCCTGGAAATTGGCTCTGGTACTAACACACTTATATGTCTTTATACATCCAAGAGTATTGTGAGAACAGAATTATGTTCTTATCTATATCAGGCAAACTTGATTGTTCCCTGTTTACTTTATGAATTCCATCATTCCTTTATGTGTTGAGTGGTGTTTCTGGCTATAAAATAGGTAGCCTCATTTTCTGAATCTACACTAAAGAACATTCATTCTTTAATACTAATTGATAACTAGCCTGACCTACGAAACCCAGTGAGACCTTCCTTGAAATGAATTTACATGGCTTCTGTGAACACGGCTTATCATGTTATGTTTATCTTTTTATATTTTGGGAAGTGGCCAGCTTCTCTTCTCTGGGTCGAGGGAAAGAAGAGGAGATCTGATCTCAAGGTTGTTATGTCTATATCTTGATGTTCATATCTTTCATGATTCAATCTTGACACTGGGTACTGCAATCACCCTTCATGTCCAGCATAATCCATCAGTAACCACCAGAAGGAGGCGGTAAAAATTGAAAAAATGGGTATTGACCACCAGCAATGGTGCTGTCTCTAGCTCCACCCATGAACCTAATCTCAAAGTGCAATCTGAACAGCAAAAATTCAAAACTTAAAGCTATAGTACTTGGTAGTAATTTGGAGTTTTATGTTTGGTTCATTTCTCTGCCCTGCATTTCAATGTTCGGTAATGGGTTTCTTGTTGCTTCCTTTGGTGGTGGTGATGAAAATGGTCGTGGGGTGGTGTTTGTTTGGTGGCATTGTTGATATATAAGGTGGGTGGTAGAAGTGGCAGTTTTGATGTGTTGGAGGAGATGGTGACTATGGTGTTTAGCCTATGAATGTTTGTGTGGATTGTATATGGTGGGGTTATAGTAGTTTGGAGATCATGCCAGTTGTGACAGCAGCAGGATGGCAGTGCGGTTTTAATGCTGGGGGGAAATAGTTTGTTATGGGTGTGGGGAGAAGATGATGTAATAGGTACTCCCCATGTTTTTAATTTTAATTGACTTTTTACTATTTATTGAGTAAATTGCATTATGATAAAGTGATGTTCAGAATATTACCATTTGGATAAGTAGCCATTCATGTAAAACATCCAAAAATAAAAAGGTAAGGTAGCCAATCTTTATAAAAACATAGTAAAGTACCAAATGGAATCCCAAAAAGAACTAATTCGCTATTTTCTTCTGCAGCTCCATCTTCGTCAGTTGACAGAAATAGCAATGAAGGCATTGATACCCTCGAAACGATTCCAGCAGCGGTTCCAGTTGTGCTGACAGAACCACCCATTGAAGAACAACTTGCATGGCATACACTATGGCCAGAGTCCCACAAGCTTTACGGTCATGGCAATGAACTTTTTTCTTTGTGTTGTGACCATGGTGGCAAGCTTGTTGCTTCATCCTGCAAGGTATATCACATTCTCGTCCTTCATTCTGTGATAGAACTTGGTCATACAGCATTATATATGGATGTATTTGCTCAACTTTCAACTGAAATCTCATGGAATGAGTTTTGAGATGTACATGCTGCATTTTATTGATGTTGCTATTTTTTGTGAAAACATTTAATTATTTGAAATTTTGAGGGTTGTTGCTTGCTCTTCCCCTCACCGACTTCCACATTCTAAGCCAATTAATTGTGTGGTTAATTTTGTAAGTCATTCTTATGGTTGACTGCCTTGAATCTTCTAAAACAATAGAGGAATGGTTAGTAAATAAAAAAGATCTGCTTCTGAGAAGCCACACGCGACTGTTTGTTCATTTAGTGATACGTACTTCAATTGAATATTGAAAAGTGTAAAATCATTGTGAATCATAGAAAATAATTTTGAAGAAAATGTTACCACCTTCTCTATTCACTCAGAATTACTAGAAAGATAGCCAAGAATAATAAAAAAATGCCCTCTTTTAACGGACTAAATCTTGTTGCATAATCTGTTTTCATATTCTCAAGTCAATCTCTTAATAATGAACTCCATATGGAGATATTGGAGGCTGAAATTATGGCCGACTAAATTGTTATTCTTTCATGGCCTTTATCTGCAGCATTTCAACCAATTGCTGTTGCTTTCTTCTCATTTTCCAAGACCCCCTTTCTGCCAATTTTAGTTTTCAAGATTGTCCTAATGTAGTAGTCGTAGTTACTTGTTAAAGTGAAGGGAACTACTACATCGAAACTTTACCAGTTAGCTATCATGACACGATAATTCTTCTTTTTCTCAATAAAGCATTTATTATTGTGTTTTAAGTAATCAAGAACAAGTGGCTCTAGGCTGATTCACAGTCTTTCATAAAAATTCTGTGCTCAGTACATCTTATCATTTTCCTCATTGTAAAAAGTGCGTAACTATTTTTGTTTAATTAGAATTGAAAACATGATTCCTGTGTGTGATTCTGAAAGTTGGTAATCTTTATATGAGATCATTTACTGCGCACATCTAAAGTAGGTGTTTAAATTATCTAAAGCTGGAATCATGATGCTTATGTTAGTTGAATTCAATTACGGTAGATTGTGAATATGTGCACCTGATGCTTTTGATATTTGAAAGCCCATCAAAATTATCAATTCCATGGAGTTTATGCATCATACCATCTGGAAATTCTTCTTTTACTGTACCTATAGTGACCCTGAAAAATATTAAGAGTGCCTGTGAATTGGGATGGATTTTCTTAGACATTTTACTTTTTCTTTTGAACAAGGATAGTTTGTGTTATGCTGACAATTATACTTGCAATCCAAATTCACTGTTGTAGAATCTTGCAGGCTCAGTCAGCATCTGTGGCAGAAATATGGCTTTGGCAAGTTGGCTCTTGGAAGTCTGTTGGCCGCTTGCATTCTCACACTCTAACAGTGACACAAATGGAGTTCTCTCACGATGATAATTTTCTTTTGACAGTCTCAAGAGATCGTCATTTTTCTATTTTTGAAATCAAGCAGACAGGTATAGTTAAACTTATTCTTTAGTTTTCTGATTAGTTTGCTAGTGCTTAAATAGACTGCGTGCTGTTACATCCCAGTGGTGAAACGAGTACTGACTTATTATACGGTCATATATTACATCTTTGACTTCTTATTAATGAACCAGGATTGGATGAAATTAGTCATCAGCTTGTAATTAGGCAGGAAGCACATAAAAGAATAATATGGGCATGTTCTTGGAACCCGTTTGGTCATGAATTTGCAACAGGTTCAAGGGACAAGACTGTTAAGATCTGGGCAGTAGTAAATGGATCGTCAGTTAAGCTACTTACGACTCTACCAACGTTCAAAAGTAGTGTCACAGCGCTATCTTGGCTGGGCGTTGATCGGCAGAGAAACCAAGGGCTTCTTGCAGTTGGGATGGAAAATGGACTCATCGAATTGTTTAGTCTTTCCAATGCAAAAGCTGAAGATGGAAGCATCCCAGTGCTGAATGCAGCTCTTGTTGTCCAGTTTGATCCCCTTATATGCCACGTGTCTACAGTTAACCGGTTAAGATGGAAAAACTCAGACAAGAGTGAAGATTCTTCGGCTGTGCAGCTTGCATCCTGCGGGGCTGATCATTGTGTGAGAGTATTTGAGGTTAAATGTTCTTAATCTTTACTTTAGACATTCAGTTGTATCTTTACATAGAATTATAGGCAAGTTAGTATTAGTAATGTTGTTGTCATATCCACCCTTTTTCTCAACTGTACCTTTGATGAATTATTCGCTATATTATTGTTTTTTATCCAGCATCATTTGTTTTTTATCCTGTGTTAAACGATAAAGGGCCAAAAGAGTCAGACATTGGGCCGGGCTGCTCAGGCCTTTGGTGACCCAAAAGAGACTCGGCCCGGTTCATTTTATGCGACTAATTGAGCATCATAATCATGGCTGTCAAGCTATAGATATTTGTGTAGTTCTTATCCATTTCTTTTCTCCAAGTAATACATTAATTATCAAAAGTAATTAAAATTATATAATCCACCTTATTAAAATAGATTGTATGGGAAGTGTTTATTCGCATTTTAAATTTTAAATAAATAAAAATAACAAGCGGATAAGTGGATGGTACTTGGAAATTTCTCGAAATTTGTAGATAAAAAGTGATTTGAATGTTTATAAACAATTTATAAAATGAGCCCAACATAGGAATCATATGGCCATGTTTGGAGTGCATTGTCGAACTTAGTGCCTGTCTGAGAGAAATTTTTCACAAATTTTGAGTAAAAATCTTACCGTTAAACAGGAAGGATTTTGACCTAACCAAGCGAAATTTTGAAAATGGAGTCAATTATTGCAGCTCCAACAGTCAGATTTTTGCTAAAAATCTGATTAAAAACTCTCCCAAACACGCACTTAATAACATAAAAAAATGTTTAGCATGTTTCTTTTGAATACGAGTTTACCATTAGTTTAAGTAGTGGTGGTATTATGTTCATGTTGTCCGATGAATAAAAATGCATCACAACTTAACAAATAATGTGAAGAAATTTTTTTAGCGATTAACGAGCTTCATTTTTTGATCTAAAAAATTTGAAGTATCAGCGTGAATATTAATTTTTAGGTTCTCAATAAATAGTAACACTCACAAACTTTAAATAACAAAACGCAATAATATGGATCTGTCACGCATAGAATGAACAACTGGTGAGTAACCACAAAGCTTCAATAAATAATAAATTTGAAGGCAGCGATAAGGATAAGGATTTTGGCTACTCGTACATAAAAAATGTATATAATCAATTAAATAATATGATGTGTAGGGAAAAGATTGAATGAAAAAGTTGATTGTATTTTAAATTGACAAATGGTAGAGTGTCATGTGACATGATTTAAGCTATTATTTAAATCTTGATGTACATGTAATAAAATCCTAAAGATAAACCGTACTCTTGAATAAAGAAAATAATACTTATACAACTCGAGGTGTACGCCTCGGTTTACACCCCCTCACATGGAGGGGGCCCCGCGCACAATTAAGGGTGTAAACTTGGGTATACACCATTATGTATGTAGTACACGTAGCATCTCCCCTTAGAATAAATAGTGGGAACAATATATAATTCCTATTTTTAAAGTTCACATTTCATAAATAACAAACTTATTAAAATATTTCAAAAATTAGGTGGTAAATAGATTTAGTAAATATTAAAATATAATATAATATACATTAATTATCTCTACTCATGCCACATCATCTACCACATCCTATCATTCAACTACACCATTTTTCCTCCACCTCTCCACCGGAGACGGCCATCGGCTACGGCGATCACTCTGGCGGCTACTCCGACGACTGTTCCGGTTGCAATTCCGGCGACTTAAAAATTTTCACAAATTTAAAAATTGAAAATCACACTCCATCCACCCACACTCGACTTCCAAAAAATTTCCAGAATTTTAAGTCACAATTGATCACAACGAGTCACAATTGGTCACAAACGTCACAACCAGTCATCCCAACTTCCAAAAAATTTTCAAAATTTCAAGTCACAATCGATCACAATTGGTCACAACGAGTCACAATTAGCCGTCACAATTGGTCACAATCGGTCACAAACAGTCACAATAGACACATATTTGATCGAAATCTCATTGCACAAAGCGAGGCTGAGGCCGCAAGGCCACTAAAATCAATTTTCATTTTTCCCTAAAAATCAATTGATTCAAAATTAAGTTTGAATATGAAGATTTTGTGGAATTTGAGCTTTTGGTATCAACTTGATGAATTTAGATGGAAAGGAATGCCGGAATTCTGAAATCCCTTTTTTTCTTAACTAGGCTACTTTTTTTTTTTTTGATATGCTGAACTGGGTTACTTAATTATGTATTTAGAAGTCAAACCGAAAAGGCCTAACATTTGATGAAATCATATTGTCACCTTCACTGCATGTATTTAGAAATTGAAAGAGTGTCATTTTTTTTTTTGAAGCCCAGGGTAATGNCACCCCCTCACATGGAGGGGGCCCCGCGCACAATTAAGGGTGTAAACTTGGGTATACACCATTATGTATGTAGTACACGTAGCATCTCCCCTTAGAATAAATAGTGGGAACAATATACAATTCCTATTTTTAAAGTTCACATTTCATAAATAACACACTTATTAAAATATTTCAAAAATTAGGTGATAAATAGATTTAGTAAATATTAAAATATAATATAATATACATTAATTATCTCTACTCATGTCACATCACCTACCACATCCTATCATTCAACTACACCATCTTCCCTCCACCTCTCCACCGGACACGGCCATCGGCTCCGGCGATCACTATGGCGGCTGCTCCGACGATTGTTCCGGTTGCAATTCCGGCGACTTAAAAAATTTCAAAATTTTAAAAATTGGAAATCACACTCCATCCACCTACACTCGACTTCCTAAAAATTTTCAGAATTTCAAGTCACAATCGATCACAATTGATCACAACGAGTCACAAACGGTCACAACCAGTCATCCCAACTTCCAAAAAATTTTCAAAATTTCAAGTCACAATCGATCACAATTGGTCACAACGAGTCACAATTAGCCGTCACAATTGGTCACAATCGGTCACAAACAATCACAATAGACACATATTTGATCGAAATCTCATTGCACAAAGCGGGGTTGAGGCCGCAAGGCCACTAAAATCAATTTTCATTTTCCCCTAAAAATCAATTGATTCAAAATTAAGTTTGAATATGAAGATTTTGTGGAATTTGAGCTTTTGGTATCAACTTGATGAATTTAGATGGAAAGGAATGTCGGAATTCTGAAATCCCTTTTTTTCTTAACTAGGCTACTTTTTTTTTTTTT